TCCATGAATTCTTGTTATTACTGTATAGTAAAGTAAAGGTAAATTAACTCCTTTTAAACATCAAGGTTTTCTACTATTTCCAATAACCAGTGGCATCTTTTTAATTGTTGCATCCATATTGCGCATTAATAACACAGTAACTCATTCTTTTAATTTCTTAAAACCAGCTGCTGTTTCACATTTAAACATTAATATGTGCTCCGGTAATACTTTGTAAAGCAGGCCAGTTTCATCTGTGTTTTAAATTTCATGTGGCTTATATTCTTTTAAAGCTCAGGTAAAATGCCTTTTATCCAGTTCTCAGCTGCATGATAATTTGCTCCTTGCTTCTCATTGTGTCGTTTCTGATAAGGAGAGAAATGTTATTTCTGTCTTTCCATTTTGTTATCCATCTATCAGATGGCACAAAATTTTCTCTTACCGTTTTAGCTCATTCTGCAGCTTTTTGTGGTCAAAAGAGCTCTAGAAATTGGAAACTTTTTTAGTCATAAAGCTTAAAACCATTCTAAAAGACCAGTTTTCAGCATCTCTTGGTTTTCCATCCTTGTTGCACTTCATTGAGACATTTTCATTTTTTATTAGTTCTTTATCAGTTTTGTTTCTTTGTTTTAAGTGAATTGAACAATGATGTTTGAGAAATCCCCAGCTTAAAAGCTGCTTCTATTTGGCTGCATTTACCGAACATAGCTTAATCTTTCTGCAATTTATCCTTTTCTTTCAGGCTTAAATCATTTCATTTAGGCATTTTCGACATGTCACAAGTCATGCACACAGCAAATAGAAAATGTTTTTTCCAGTGATTTGTTCAATTTAAAATTCCCATTTCTTACCAGCAGGAAGATAGCACTTTTTTCTGTCGACCTGTCACTTCATGGTATAGGCATAGTTAATGCTTTCTTTTTTCTTCAATAACATTCATTTATAATCAAAGAATTTGTTTCCAATGCGTCTAGGGGACTGCCTTTGTTAATCATAATGTAAAGGTATTCTATCACTCTCAGCTGTAGTCCAGATATAACTATTTGCAGACAGTGGGTGATGGGAATTAGAGAAGTGTACCTAACATCCCAGGTGTTCTCAATTCTAACTACACTGGCCGAAATTTCTGTTAACCCATTTTATTGAAGCATGCATAACTGAAAAATAAATGAATGAACTACAAACAGTTTGTTCCTGATATGAATAATTACTTTCACCAGTTTTAATTTTATAAGTGGCGGAGAAGAGGTTAATAAATGGTGGATTTTCTGTTGATTAGTACAGTCAAAAGTCGTTAATCCGGACTCGTCGGGACTTCGGCGATTCCGGATTATCGATTTTTCCGGATTATAGATCATCAGTTTATATTGGTAAGATGGCATGCAGAAGTTATAAAATTAAAAATATGAAATCGTAATTTATGAAATAAAGAACAATTATGATCTAAAGGATATCAAAATTTACAAAAAAAAAAAAAGAGAGAGAGAGAGAGAGCTTAATATTTTTTTTTTTTTTTTTTTATTAACATTTCTTTTTCAATGTAAGTTGTTTAAGTTGCTTTGTTTTTATGTGATAATACTTTCTCTTTAATTATATAAACAGACATAATAATTCTTCTTCAGTTACAAAGTTCCGCTGTTCAAATCCTATAATTGCTGTGTCGAGAATACCGACTAATTTGTCAATCGAATTTTTTCGTTTTCAATAACCTCTGTGTCACTTTCTTCACTATCGGAAGCGAATTATAATGAGGAGGAATTTGATTTAAATCATATCAAAGACAGGAGTACATCGAGATGAAATACTACATTTAGTAAGGAATTATAAGCCAAATAAAATAAAAACATCTGCCCTGAAGATAAGGATAGTGCTGACAGATCAACTTCCAATTCATTGCGCGTCGCTTCCCTTCCCCCCGCAGAGCAGCGTGAAATCGATAAACATATTTCGGAATGATTAGATAATCAAAGGATATGCCTTTATCCATTTTTTTGCAGCAATTCCACTTTCTATTTAATGAACTTCGAAACATACTTTCGCTTTGTAGATCCTTTACATATTAGTAAATATATATCGGAAATTCTATTTGACATAATCGGAAGTTCAAGCTTACTTTTATAAAATTGCTCTAACAGTCTGCAAAAAATAGTAAGCCGGATCCAATTCGAAGATTAAGGAACAACGCAATCTGCAACATTACCTGAATTAGATCATTTCAGCTTAGCTTATACCGCCCGTTATACATTAAACGCGCTTGCGTAAACGTATTATGCGCATGCGCACACACATATTCGCAGCCGTAAAGGTCTTGCGCATGCGTCAAAGCATTTTCTGCGCGCATGCGTCAAAGCATTTTCTGCGCGCATGCGTCAAAGCGACGCATGCGCAGAAAGTTTGTAGATTTGAGGTCCGGATTATAGATCATTCCGGATTATGGGTGTCCGAATTAACGACTTTTGACTGTATATATTCATTTTGGTTCCTGGAAATTTGAATGTAATAAATATCTGAGTTTATCTACCAGCGAGTTTAATAAATGCAGGCATTGTATTTACATTTTTCCTTGTTTATAGATTTTAAGATTATCAATTATAGTATGTTTTCATCCACAGCTATTAATAGCAATGGAATTTAAGTAATGTGATATGAATACAGTCCATTGTACTATGAAATCCGGCGTTGTCAGAACTTTGGCAATTTCGGAATCTTAGATCCTTAGTTGAAATCTAATAAAAATGACATGTATACATGGGAACATTGCAGCTTCACTTATTTTTTAGGTCATATAGAAAAATGCTAACTCCTACAGAGTTGGTGCCAAAGCAAGTGTAACAGATGGCAGAATTAAGGAGCTGCAAAAATTTTAGAATTTAGGAGAAGCACACTAAAGTATTAACATTTAGGGGAGCAAAATTTTTAGAGGGAAGTATCAGGCAGCATAACTCAGGACTTGTAGAGAAAGCATGAGGCAGCAAAATGTGTAATATTAGCCCTACCCTCACCTGCAACCATTCAAGGACCAAACATGTGATTCTGGTCATTATCAATACAGTATGAATCATTGCATTGTTACATGCAGCCCTAAGACTGCATTTATAGCACATATAACTGCATTTATAGCACACATGCTTCTTTTTGTTATTTTATTGTTCATTCCTAGACACTGTATTTTTTTTTTTTTTTTTTTTTTTTTTTTTTTTTTTTTTTTAATTTTTGGTGGTAGTCCGGAGGTTAAGATATTAGATCATGCAGCACATTGGATGTCTAGATTTCAGACTTCATACTGTGTAACTAGAAATATATAAACATATACTTTCACTGAATTTTAATTAGGAAAAAGTAAAAGCTTGTTTGTGAACTGTTCATAATGTTCCCAGAAAGTATTTGACTCCTAATCTTAAAAATCGGAGGACTTCCTTCATGGAAAGAGGACATGGCAATGTAATTTAAAAGTAGGCAAAATTACAAGTAGTTTGGCAGAAATGTTTTCAAAGGAGAAAAAAGTTCCACGAATGATTTTTTTCCTTTTCTTTTTTAAGAAGAGGGACCATATTTGAAACCAATCTGTTTGGCAATATTTGTCTGGCACTTGGCTATTTTATAATTCATTTTAAATTTATTTAGAGACTTCAATTTTAAAAATTTTAAATTTTCATAATTTTAAAAAATGTGTAGTATTTTGATCTTATTAACTGAATTGTTGATTCCAATAGGTGATGTATTTTCCACATTTTCATATGCAAATGGCGAGGACTTTGGAAATTTAAAATTGAGATTTATAGTGGGGTTTGTTTACCAAATAGTACCAACAGGCACACTGATGTGATGGGCTGTTGTAGAATTGTTTGAAAAGAGGTAAACAAGGGTAGTACATATAATTGTGACTCGTTGAACTTGACTTGCATTTTAAACAAAGTATTTAGTGTCCAAACATAATGTATACCAAGTTGGACTTATTTCAAAGCATGTGTGTAACAGTCATTTAAAAAGGTTGCAGCTAAAATTTAAGCCAGTTTAAACTATTTTAATAATTTGGGAATTTTTGGTACTTTGTTCCTTTATTTGATGATTCAGTCTTTTCAGATCCGAGGAAATTTTGTGTGGCTCTTGAGGACATTTCACGTATGTATTTGTTGTAAAGATTTTAGGTATTTGAAGTCTGAGTTTTCATATCCATTAAAATGGACATAATGCACCAGAAAAATCTGTAATAATGTGTATAAGTCTATAAATCAAAGATTTGAAGACACAGATTTGATTACTTTTTATTCATATCTGTCCCTTCCCCCAGAAATTTTTGCATGAATTTTTGCATGCTTTGTTATGAATTTTTGCATTAATAACAATCACTTTTAGAAATTCGTTTATGTGTGAGCAGCTTTTTCACAGTGGAAGATTAATCAGAATACAACCCACCCCATTTGCATTGCATACATTTAATTGACTGTTGAGCATTTACAACCTAAAAGTTTATAATTATTCACATGCAGACATATATATTATTTTTATTAATACTTCGAAGAAAAATTTAATAAATAAGAGTCTAAATTACTATGTATTCTTAAGTCTGGTCCCATTTTGTAAATTTTCTCTGAAGTCTGTTTTATAATGTTATTTATGGATTAATTAAACATTATACAGTTATTTGAAAGAAATATCTGGCTAAGAATTTAAGATTTAGCTGCCGTATTTGAATTATTATTGTTATTGTTTATGCATGTTTTCATAAATATTTAGAAAGCAAAATTTAATTTAAATATTTTTTATTTTATTAAAAAAATAGAAAAAACTCGGACCTGTTAGCTGTTTTTAGATCGCATATGCAACCTGCATGGTATTTCAGTTTGAAACTGCTGTCGTAATCAGTTCATCAGTTTTGGATCAAATTAAAATCGTTTAGTCACTGAAAATTGGAGAAATTGAAAGCTGTGTTTCAGTTCAGTTTTTATTAGCATTTCTGATGATGAGTGTGAATGTATTGTGGATTGTTCAGTTTCTTTATGTGCTGTTTCCTTTTTCAGTGGTGCGAGTAAAAATTATGCATGGGCCTCAAGTTCCAGTTCCATCCTCGCAGAATTTGGAACTTTGCATTTGGAATTTACATACCTCAGTGATATAACAGGCAATCCCATTTACAGAGAAAAGGTCAACCATATCCGTGATGTGCTCGCAAAAATGGACAGACCCCAGGGTCTTTTCCCTAATTACCTGAATCCTAAAACAGGTCGATGGGGACAGCGTAAGTTTTTTCTTTCTTTAACATGATTTTATAGTAGTTGCCTAAGGATACAGTAAAAACTAGACTAGAAGAGAAACACGCTAATGTGACAATCAAAATTGTAAAAACAACCTTGTATTTAGCGTAAGTATATTGAAACACTCAATCGATTTCGAGGGCAGCTAAAGGTCCCTCATCATCAGGAGAAGAAATACCTAGAAAGAAGAAAAATAAAGGGGAAGGAGTCTCAGAAACACGTGGTCCTTATCAGCACTGCACGTGGTTATAACTCTCCGGTTATTAAATTTAACTAAATTAATGGTTATATATTGAAATTATATTTAGGAAATAAAATTAAAATAGAACATTTATATTTTTTTGCTGTTATATTATGAAGAGACATTACTTTCCGTTTTGGCGACTTATTATACAGTATTTTGAATATGAAAAATAAACAAGATAATAAATATTATAAAGCACAGTTTACAAAACAATTCATAGCAAAAGCAAAATAGCTATGTAATTAAAAATTTCTTCCTTTCAATTTTTTCATGGTAAAATGTTTTCCCATGTAATTGTTTCAGAATTATTAGAATATGCATCAGTTTTCTCTGTAATTTTAATTTCACACTTTTTTCCACTGATTTTTTTTTTTTTTTTTTTTTTTTTTTTTTTTTTTTCAAACTATTTCTGGCTTTTTTTCGATTACAGAATTGGTAGGGCTAATTTTTCTTTAGGATTTTAGACATTGCAACTTAGAAAGTTTAGAAGGATTTGAAGGCAAGATTTACAGACCCACAATTCTAGAAGGCTCCATTAAAATGTGACAAAATAAAAAATATCTTCATTGTATTAAAACATAATGGATGTATTTTACAAAAATTTTATGATGAATTTCATACATTGGGAAGAATTTTTGGAATTTTTGAAAATATAATGTTTGAATGTTGTACTTCTGATGCTAGAAGTCTCTTTCTTAACCTGTTTATCTTCTCTTTATTTTCTCAACTTTTCACTAGTTAGAAGCATCGAAAATACCAAAAATGTTTCTAATCTTTTTGCCTGGATAGTCATTTATAAAAAAAGAATTTTTATTAATAAAGAAATTGAAAATTGACAATTTAAAAGATTCACCTTATACGTCTCAATGGATCATACACAGGGCTGGCGCTGGGCTTTTTCCCAACCTGATGAAATCTCTGTGGTTCCTAAATTCTGCTGCCTAGTGCCTTCCCAAATTCTGCTGCTTTATGCTCTCCTCAATTCTGCTCCCAGTCCCTGTCCTAAATTCTAAAAGTTTTGCCATTTCTAGATTTTGTTGCTCGGCGTGTCACTAAAATCTAAAAATTCTGCCTCATCGGCTCAAATCAGCTCTTACCACATATCATTTCATATTTATTCTGAATGTTCATATTACTAAAGAAATAGAATTAGCAGCTTTTCCTTTATATTCTAAATGCATTTTGTTTTTTTAGAATAACAGAAATCTTTAATTCCAAAAATTCTGAAGTGAAGAGGAAACATATTGAAAAGAAACTGAACACATATGCAAATTAATCAGTTGTTTAGAATTTTAGCGTTTACTATAGATTCCCCTTTCTGTTTCCTCACCATAATGCAAATAAGATAGTTTTTAAACTGAGATTTTTGAATTGTAAGACAGAAGGTTTTTGCCTTCCACTTGGATGTTGCCTTAGTTCCTGTTACATCTGATAATTTGTAATTATTCATCTTTGCATTATCATTGCTAATATTTGAATTTGTTACTACAATACAGTTACTGAGTCACCTTAGGTTAAATTTAAATTGCATAGTCTTTGAATACTAGTCCGCATTTTTAGTTTGAATTTGGCTGTTCCTGTTTACTTGCATCACCAAAAGCTGTAGTTAATTTTGTCAACATAACATAAGAACATGCCTGTATGTTCCAGAGTCTTTTTAAATAAGAGGTATATTTAAATCTTTATGTGACGCTGTAGTTACCTTCAGACATAACAATAATTTGCTTCATGTCTATCAGAGGTTTTGGATTATTTAACTTTTACCAGATCACGTAAAACCTCATTAGGTACACTGTTGAGAGACTACAAGTTAGGAGATAAAGCATGCAGAAACTAGTGGGAACATTGGTTTGTGTATTGAAACAGATTTCTAATTGTTAGAAAGGTGTTTAAAGAGAAGAAAATTGATATAAATTAGCCAAAATGTCTAGGAACACTTTGAATTAAAAAGACACATAAATATTTTGTTTTGTAACTTTTAATGTGTAATTATCCTAATACTGTTTAAGAATCAGTGTCATAAATTGCATGTATTTTAAACTGTGAAATGTTATTAGATTGTGATTTTAATAATGGTCATGTAAATCTATAACGACTGAGGGTATTTAACTATCTAATTTAATTATTTATAACTAACTGCTCATCTTTAAAGTTTTTTATGCATATTAAAGCAAGTTATTTCTTTTCAATAATCATTACTCTGGCCACAGGATACAGCACAAAAATGTAAAAACTATTGTAAACTTATTCTTTGCATCTAGTGAGACTTAAAATAATACAAAACAACTTATCACCTCTGCTGTATTAGTGGCTTATTGGAACCTTAAAATGTATTAACCAGGTTACAATCCCAGAAACTTTATATGAAGGTACAACATTTGTAGAAACATCAGGATTTTTTTTTTTTTTTTTAAACAGGAACAAACGAAAAAGCGGCTTCACCGAGAATCGAATCGCGGACCTCTGGAATACGCGCCCAGCGTGCAGACCACCATACCAAGAAGGTGGGAGAAATACGTTATATACTCCCCCTTTTAGAAGGCGACTGGAGTTTTAGGGGACCCAATCGCCAAATCCTGAGTGAGGAGAATCATCATCCACCACCCTTTTAGTTCAGGCATTATACAGGCTGTAGAGACATTAGGTATTTTTTGGAAGCAGGAAAGATGAAAAATATGCAAAGCCTTTACCGGGAATCAAACTGCGGACCTCTCAAATACGAGCCGAGTGTGCAGACCACCACACCACAAAGACATGCCAAGAAATGTGGGAGAAAAACCTAACCTACAACAGGCTTTCAGGTTTTTTTCTGATCAACAGGTCTCTCTCTCAGCAAGCAGCAGCACTAGCAACAGTTAATCTTCTGTTACAAATCATGCTGATTATGATTTTATTTCTCATTTTAACCTATGCCATTTGACATAAAATTTACTAAACCTCTAGACTGAGTAAGTACATGGCAAAATGAGACATAAAAGATAAAATCAGCATAAAGTTTTTAATGAAATGTCCCCAATCTTCTTTCAAATATGTCCAACTATTATACGCGTGAAAATATTTAATGCTATTTGATAAATTTTATAATGTGGATTTCATTCTCAAATTTTTTTAAAGTTATGTTTAATAAGAATGCATCCTACTTACGGATCTATTTTATTCTTAGAATGTTATTACAAAAGCGAAATTCAGATATAAGCTGATTGAATTGAATTTTTAGCTCCTGTTGGCTGATAGGCCCTTTATTATTTTCATTAATGGTCCTTAAAAGTACTTAATTTCCATGTGCAGAAATGTGTACGAACCCTGTAAATGGACTTGTCCCTGTAGCCTTATTTTTCCGGAGGACTTCACATTCTTCAGGCTTTTCATGTTAGATCATTACACAAGAGATACTATAATTTACACATAATTACTAAATTCATAATACTATCATAGTGTAAATTAATTATCTCCATTTTACATTTTCTAGGGCATTAGTCACATTTGTATTTGTTTGATGAAAATAATGTAAAATTTGAGTCCATATCATTTAAAGCTTAAATGTTTTCTTCAGATTCTTGTCATTATAATTAATGTCTTTATAATGCAAATTAATTTAGGAAAAATATAGTTGAGAGCTGTGGAAAATTGTTTCAGGAGCCACATCCTGCCATATTGAGACTCCTGACAGAAGATAGATAGTGGAGGTGTAATATCAACTAAACACACAACAAAGCATTAAAATTAGTACTTGGATTTAGTTCTAGAAAATTTACTCACTTTCATTTATAGCAGAATTCATATGATGGTAGAGACAAGTTGTGAAAAATAGCAATGTGTTTGTTGTGTTGTGATTACCACCCGGGGCCTATCAAAAATCTGTTGCATCGATCTGCTGATGCTGCTTTCATCATCAAAAGGTGCCAACATATTGATGGCAATGTATCTGCAGGTATCAGTTAATACAGAACCAAAAACACCCAAAATAATTTCCATGGTCATGAAATTAAAGCAGTTACATAAAAAATTACAAAAATTCTTAGAAGTTGGCAGATATATACTTCATTGCTGCCAATTTTCATGGTAAATCATGCAATCTTCTGGCTTTCCATTATTAAAAAAATGGTTTCCTAGCTGGGGAGGAAATTTACTGGATTAATGAAAGTTTGAATTGTGCAAATTATGATTTTCCCTTATGATTCCCCCCAAATCCCTTATGATTTTCATCATACATTTTCTTATTAAAATTTATTGGATCTGAATTGTCTTGACATGTTCACACTGGCTCTGATACTCATGTTTTCCACTATGAGATGGTGCTCAAATTCATTCTTCACTTCATCTGGCAGCATGGTATTATCACTTATTCTTTTACTGTATGTGCAATTGAGTGCCCAGTAACAATGTATTTTACAAGTTGTGTAACTCATACCATTTTTTCCAACCTGACTGCACATTTCTTCCAATAAGTGTCACCAGAAAGGTGAATTATTTTTTCTTTCTTAATTTTTGCCCATATAAATAATACATAATATAGATATGGAAATAACTGATTCGTCTCGTTAATCTGTAAATGGAAGCAGGAGAAGTACGTCAAGATCAAGAATACTGTCAACCCGACAAGGATTTTGTTAATGATGTGCAGCATCTGATCGAATATTCGAGCATGACACACCAATAATGCATGTCGCCTGATGGGAGGGGTGTGACCCACTGGTGATGCATGCTGCCTGATGGGAGATTCAAGCATGACCCACCAGTGATACATGCTGGCGTGAATATGTTAATCAACTGTAGACGTTTGTAGACCATTTTATGAGGACTTAACCAATGTTAAATCGATTAATATCTGTAATCTGTATTTAATTTTATTTTGTATCAGTACACGTGACATATATTCACATAGTATATCAATTAATTATTAGTTGGAAAAAGCTATTTGTTTCAAAACATGATTTTGCTTTGGTTAACTTTAAATGCATTGTTTTTATCTAAGAGGGAGCTAAGAAATACATAAAATGCATACTTTGCTGTCAGCTGAAAAAGAGGGCCATGACTAAAGACAACAACTAATGTTTAGTTCACTCTTCAAAAACTAGGAAGGCTGCAGCAACAGCTTTACATTAAAATTAAAGCAAAGATGAAAGTGTGTGTGTTGTGTGAAGTCCTTTGGTTAACTTTAAATGCATTGTTTTTATCTAAGAGGGAGCTAAGAAATACATAAAATGCATACTTTGCTGTCAGCTGTAAAAGAGGGCCATGACTAAAGACAACAATTAATGTTTAGTTCACTCTTCAAAAACTAGGAAGGCTGCAGCAACAGCTTTACATTAAAACTAAAGCAAAGATGAAAGTGTGTGTGTTGTGTGAAGTTAACCAACTCTGTAATTTATGCATTTTAAGACACCCTAGCATGGAGGTGACAGGCTTAGAAGGAATTTCAGCCTCTACTAGATATTGTGGATTCAGATCTTGCTTTTTCCTCATGTTAGATGTTGCTTTTATTTCTCACATGCATTTTTTGGCCCGATTATTTTCATACTTCCTTTTTCATGCAGACTTATTATGTTCATTAGTTAGTTTAGCTGTCTCTCCCTACACTCAATATGTCAAAATCTACATTGTTGGTGCTTTGTCATGTAACATCAAGACCTAAGATGTTAAGAAAGGAATGTTAATCTGCTCAGGACCTTATCTTATGTCTCAATAATAGATTTGGTAGGATATTCTTTGATGAAGGTAAGCTGTTCCAAGTTAGGTACTCCAGCAGTGCATGTTTTCTTGTTGATAAAGGACATTCTCATCTACACGTCATTGGCCAGTCAGTAGAAACATAGTATCCAGTCAGCAGTAATCATATCACTTTTCTGCCATTTAACCTCTGAAAATTTTCATGAGCAAAAAACCATGCAGCCTTTAAAACTATCGATGAGACCAACAGTTTCACTTTTTATAGAAGTTAGTTGCTATTTGGCAAAATGTAAGATATTTATTTTTCAGATTGGCTCTGTCCAGTATGGCTTAGCGGACTAAACTATTTAAAAGCAATAGTTCTAAATGCACACTTTTTAAAAAATTTTAATTGATTTAAATAAAAATTCATTTCTTTCATAATGGAAAATATTCAGTGTTTTTATCAAATGACATTCTATAATTTTCACTTTTCAAATGGATAGAAAATCTAGAATGTTTCCATTTTAGTCTAAGTGTATATTCGTCTAGCACCCTATGAATTGTTTTGCCATTCTATCTTTATTTTTGCTTTTATTGTATCTTAAAGTACTTCAATAAATAAGAGCTTTCCTTTTGTACTTGAGATTTCCTGGGTATAAAAAGTGTAATAGAATTTCAAAATGAAATTTGATGAAGAACACAAAATGTGTAATATTAATTAATTAATTAATGATATATTTTGCATCAGAAACATTATAAATAGTTCAATAACCTGAATCATACATTATATAACATAACCCGTCAAAATAGCCCATGACAAAACAGCCTAAATATAATTATAAAAAATATATTATTCCTAAATATATATTCTTAGTTTCACTTCTAAAAATTTTTTATGCAAATATCAACTTTTTATATCATTTAACAAAATTCCCATCCAGCTTTAGTATCTAAAAATAAATAAAAATATGTTCACATGTATTTCTTTATATATCTTTTTAAGAATAAAAATGCATGTAATACCAGTAAACACAACAAAATTAATGCTTATTGAGATAACACATTTCAAGATTATTGTGATACTTAGACATGTTTTTGTGCAAAACATATAAAGCTTCTGTAAATTATTTAATGATTATAATTTAGAATATAGGCCAGAGGATGTTAAACTTCTGTATGTTGGGGTAACCTGTATGTGGAAATTGTTACTAAGGCATCCTTCATGACAAATGGTTGGGAAGTATTTTTTAATAAGCCAGCATGTGTGAATATGTAGAGGAAATCAAATATGAACATGTGTATTTTTCAAAATGCACTTATGTGCAAGGTGTAATTACTCATTTATATGAATTGTGTATATTTAGATACTAAAAAAATTTTTTAAAAAATGTTTGCAAGACCCAATTCAGAAGCCTTCACAAAGATTTAGGCTATTTTGTAATCAGCTGTTTTGTTGGAGTTATATTTTCTTGGGCTATTTTCTCAAACTGCCAATACATGATGAACTTAGTCAGTTTCAAGTTCTTTCGAAATGATGTTTGCATGCAGTGCAAAAACTTTGCGGAAGTAGCTAGTTTTTCACATTTCAAGGTTGGCAGCTATGGTATTTGCTTTCCTTACAGTTTGTTAAAATTTTTGTGGACAAGTTGTTGTAGATGAGCTTTTTAGAGAGAGCAGTTGTGTGAAAATGATAATGGATTAACTTTTCAGGATGAATAACTGTATGTTTGGATTTCAGATCACATGTCTATGGGAGCTCTTGGTGACAGCTTTTATGAATATCTCCTAAAATCCTGGATCCAGTCCAATGGCGAGGATATGCAAGCTTTGCAGATGCTTCAGGAGTTAGTTGAAGTAAGAGTACATTTGTTTAGTGCAGGGATTTGTAACAGGGTCAGTACTAACCCCTTGAGATGATTATCAAGGGGTTGATAGCTGAATAGGCAATGACATTCAATCAACATAATCAAGACTCTATTGATTACAAATATATATATATAAAACCATAATTTCAGGAAGAATGGCCACATCAGCGTAAATAGTGCACTCAAGGAAAATGCCACCCCCCCCCAAAAAATCTAAAATGCGCATAAATACCACATTAGCATAAACTCCACTTTAAGTTAAATTGTGTGTGACATTGCCATGAATGTTATAGTTGCAAAATCTTGACCTATTTGATGATATATGTCATATCAGTTAAGAAAATTGCTTGAAATGAAACCATAGCTCAAAAATAAATTTATATGTAAGAAATGTTGAAATAATCTTACATTCATGAATGTACTTAACTAAAGAAGTCCATATACATTATACTCATGCTAAATAATATAAAACATATCAAAGCAATGAGATTTTAAATTAAATGACAGAAGAAAATTTAAAATTTTACTCTTGCTAACAAAAAGTGTTAAACCAAACTGTGCATCACATGAAGCTGTCAAAATCTGATTCTTTGCTATCTGAATTAGTTCGAGTCTGCCAGATGCCATTTCGCATTCATTATCTTAGTTTACAGTCTCTTAGTACCTGGAGATATAATTTCAGCTTTGAATCCTCCTATTATTGGCAATATTTCCACTGATTTCCATGCTCTGCCTACCCCATTTTGCAACTTATTCATAAGATGCTCTACACATTTTTGCTGTTTTTGGAAGACTGCTTACAAAATTCATGCTAATTCTGGTGGCAGAATTTAATGATGGTCTGAGAAATTTAAGTGTGGAAGTTTCAGCTTGCTTCAAAGTCATATTTGAAAGTAACACAATCACTCATTCACCACTTGCACTTTTTTTGGACTTTGAAGGATTTAACTGAAAAATCTAATGGTTTTTAATTTTTTTCAAGCAACCAGAAATTATTGTTAAGGTGGTAGACAATTTTTTGATATTTTGACATCTGGATTTCATTGATCATGTAAATGAGAATGCATGGAATCCATTTTTAACAATGCTTTTGATTGGAAAAAAAGATTCCATATGATATTGCTAAAAAAAATTTTGGGGGGGGGGCAAACCTTTTTTTTTTTTTTTTTTTTTTTTTTTTTTTTTTGTGCCAAACATTTTTGATTGTTTCCGCCCATCAATCCATTCTTATTTGATCAAATAATTACTTCACTAAGAAGATCTCTGATCGGAACAGTTTTCCTTTTAAAAACTATCATTGGCTTTAGCTTGTCATGGTTTGTGGCACAAGCTATCATACATTAGAAGAACTGTGAAATCTCCATGGTAAACATGGATACAGTTTTTTCAACAGTATCATCAGCAGTTCTGTTCTCAGAAAAGTCAAAAGCTAATGGTTTTGATCCATATTTATTATCTGTGGTAGAAGAAATTTTTTTATTCTCAATAATATCCGTCACTTATTTTAGAGAAGATGCTTTTTTATCATGCCAGTCCATTGATAATTGTTGCCCGACTGTTGCTCTTAATTTACACCATGCTAAGCAGCTACTAATCAATTGTATGTTAATGTTGATGAGAGAGGTTATAATATTGCTTTCTTGCAGGAACCTTATGTGGTGAAAAATAAGATTCGAGGAATCCCAATGAAATGTCGGGCATGATACGATCGAAAGGATTGTTTTTCCTTTATGTGGCAATAATGCTGTTCGGTAATCCTCCAGTGATGCTTTTATTTTTTTCTCCTAATATTGTGACAATAAAAATGCCTATAAACAATTTAGATGCCATTTTAATTTCAGTATATTTTCCTTTTAGGGAAACCGTTGATGATTACTTGCATGGTATCAGTAATATTATTAATTCAAATGAAGGATGTGAAATATTCATTTGTATGGTGACTTTAAAGCAAGGAATCTGTTGAGTCCTTGCCATTTTGTAATCGATCCAAAAGATGTGGTTTAGTTTGGTTTATTTGTTTATGGCAATACACTCAAGGGATCCAAAGAGTGAGGCCATTATTCAGTTTTGCAGTATTGATAATATGAATGTTCTTAATAATTCAGGTAGCTTGGCAACATTTTCCAGTGCTAGAGATGACTCTTCGATTGGTTTGACAATTGTCGATATTTACATTGAATTAGTCTGATTGTTTGGATATCTCTTGTAGTGATTATTACTGTACTGAGATTGATATTTCCCATAAAATTATTGGGGAGAGGAATTGGGAGCATTACTACGCAAATGATCTAAACTGGTTGAGTTTTCATATAGAACTATATAAGTTTGCTGAAGGAACTTCTAATCAAAATTTGAAAATTATTTCTGATTGCTGTGATAATGCTCAGTTACCAATCAACTAATGGATGATTGATTCTAAATAGAAAAAATATCACTACGGACGATGAAGAAAGTGCGAGAGAGGTAGTCTTTTTCTTATTACATGCTTCGCCCTTAGGCACTATGTGGAAAGGGAGGGAGAGCCCTTAAAGGTCTTTTTAACAGAAACTGGCCCGTATTCACGTTAACATGGAGAAAATCATATTCAAATCCTGTTCATCGGCATTCAAACCCCGGAACAAACTACCACTGTTTAGTGGCTTTTACAATTGGCCGCTAGTGGGCCATATAAAGGTAGATGAGAACAAAAAAATTTAAATTGACAATTTAGTGGGAATTCTCAGCAAGGCAATTTGAAAATATGAAGGATGGAACTTTATAACTGAACAAGAAATTATGTCTATAGAATTAAAGAGAAAGTATTATTATTTAAAAAAAAAAAAAAACTTGCATTGGAAAAAATATTGAATAAAACAAATAAATAAATATTGAGCCTTTTTTATGGATTTTGATTCTCTTAAGGTCATAAATGCTTCACTATTTCATAAATCAATGTTTCATAGTTTTAGTTTTGTAATTTCTAGATATCATTGTACTAGGTTTAAACTATTAATCTAACATCCAGAAAACTCCCAAATCCGAAGGGCCCACCAGCGGCTGAGCGGTAACACCGCTGAACACTGGTAGTTAGATCCGAGGTTCGAATCCTGTGAACGGGCTGGCTGCATGGGCATTTTTGTGGTTTTTCCCATGTGTAAAGTGTATACGAGCCAGTTTCAATTAGAAAGTCCTCCACAAAGGCATCCCTCCCTTAAGGCAGATAGCCCTCGAGTGCTTTGCCGTAATCTAATAAACCAACCAAACCAAGCCAAACCCCAATCCGAAATTGAAGAAGTCGAAACAAGTCAGAATCTTGGATTTTGTATTGTATGTTCCTTGTACTGTGGAAAAATAACTGCACCTAGAGTCATTTTGAACACACAGTCTTTGACTCAAATATAATGTGCCTCAAAACCTAAATTTTGTGTTTGTTTGCCCAAAGAGACATTAGACCCAAAAAGCTATTAGTCTCAAAATGGCATTTTGCAACATTTCACTTTTTGCGTTGAATCACTTTTCAAACTGTTACCACCAAATATTATTGCCAAAGCCATCAAATTTTGAATAATGTAATCCTCCAACCGAACATGGGCACTTGGAAGCCTGAATTTTAAATTTGTTTTATTATCTATTTTAAATTTTGTAAAACTTTAATGAATTTTTGAATAATAAACTCAACAATTTCAAAGCGAGAAATAGCAACACTGTATGGAAAAAAACATTTTTATCTTTTTATCTCCAGTATCAAATACTATGTATCAGAAATTCTAAAGATATGCTGTTTTCCTGTTTTTAAATATTTTGTGATGTTGCTGTTGAATTGGATTTTATGTGGTTAAGTGGGAAGAACATGATATTTAATAAATAAAGGTAACAAATAAAATGTTTAAAAAAATGCCCCTTTGAGCATAATATAATTTTTTTTTTTTTTTTTTTTTAGTTTCACATTTTTTATGAATTTCTCAGCGATTTGAAAGCCAGCAGTGTTTTAAAAAAAAAGTTATGTTCAAAGTGCCAAACTTTTACCATTCTCAAAGTAAAAAATATTTTTCTTTCAGTTTTAATCAATAAACTCAACTGTCTAAAAGCCTGGTTAAAATGCTTTTATCTTCCTTGTGCCAGCATGTTGCCTTTCAGTAAAGTATAAGATATTTAACATTCAAATTTAATGTCTGTTGGTGATTAACAAACCAAGCAATTGAAAGCAATAAATGCAGTTGTTTAATTTTTTTTTCTTTTTAATCTGATTTATTTAAATAAAAATACATTTAAATCATAATATGTATAATTAGAAATACTAAATAGCTTTTTATTGTATTAAATATTTTGAAATGACACTGACTAGACTCGGTAAAATCATTATACATTTTTTCCATTTTCTGTTTTATTTTTTAACTTATTTTCAGGTATGTTTGAAGTGTATAAAATGCATTACTGTGGTTTCACATTTTCTGTTTATTTCTTCCCTAGGGTATAAACGATAAACTGGTGCAAACATCTAAAAGTGGGTTGAAGTATTTAGCAGATTTAAAGTATGACAAAATTGAACATAAAATGGACCATCTAGCATGTTTCTCTGGTAAGGATTTTTAATGTGTATGTTTGTGTTGTAAATGTATTTCATTGGCTGTAGTACTGACAGAACTTATTTCAAGTTATGACCATTCCCAACATTCTAAAATTGTCTTCTTTGTGATAGTAGCACTGGCACATATTGTGTTCATTTCTGTATTGGCAGATAACAGTAGCATTCCTGTTATGTTATTTTGGTGTCTTGCCTATAGTTACTGTAATATCAATACTTGTCGGTTTGCACCAGGTGCTTGTTAGGAGCATTGCACATTTTGTTCATCAGCTGTGAACCTTCTCGAGTTGTGCCTGTGTTATTGAGTGATTTAACTCATTTGTTGTAGTCTGTCTCAAAGTGCACTATTTTTGCAGTGTTTGGATAAAAACCAGTATTTCTTATGTTATGTGAGTTGAGAAGATTAACTTGTAAAACAAATAGTCATGTTGAATTCATAAAACTATGTTAATCTCTCACTCTGTGTATCATGTTTGGTTTGCAAGCAGCTGTAACCACACCAAGTGGAAATATTGCATTATTTATTTTTAATAAATCAAAATTATCCGCTTACAACTTGACAATTTCTGATAGTTTTTTAGAGTAGTCTTACTGATGTCTATTGCTACTCATGGCATGAAGCCAATGGAAAGAAAGGTGCAGCTGAAACTCTAATATGCTTGCTAAACATTTTGGTATAAAAAAGGGATACATGAAGATCAGGTGATTTAGAAATAACACTTTATTCTGACAGTTGCTATCCATATAAAAAAATAAATGCATTCTTGCCTATTACTTATATGCTGTGGCAATTTTACTGATTAAAAGGATAACACATATATTTCTTGTTGTTGACCTTAGGCAAAATGAAGGAGGTAGTGCTCACACTTAAATTGAAAAATGCTAAATAATTATTCAAAGAGGACCATTTATGTTCCATCTCAATATGCCTTTTTAATTAGAACCACAAAGAAACAAGGCAAACTTTCTAACTTTTAAAAATGTGACATAACGACTTTACTGATGTCACAGATTAGATATGTCAAAATTTTATTGTAAATAGCAATGACACTGTTCACTTTAACATTTCTGTATCAAAAGTAAAGAAACAATCATTTCATTACTTCTTCTATGATACTTCTTTTAAAGAAACAGATTTAAAAGGCTGTCAATGTGAATGCCTTCATGTGCAGGAAAAGTTTACCAACTTTCTTCCAGGAAGCAATATTTATATTTATATAGTGTTATACCAAACTGTTATTCAGCATTTTACAACACTCTAAAATTTGAATAATAAAACAAGTTTTGTTTTGAAACTTTTAAAAATAAATATGAGAATTGTAAAATGCTCATAGGTGATAGGTGTAAATATTTGTTGTATTGGCTTTTATATATTTTATAGTGTTTTAAACCATTTTTATTTATTTGGTTTATTTTATTAAATAATTTTAAGTTTTGTTTTATTTAATTATTTAATCAGTAATTATTTTTTGAAATTGAATCTGTAGCCACATACTTTATTTTTAGGTGTTTATTTCTGTTTAATTATGTGGATTTTGTAATCCTAACATGATTGATGTTTACCTTGTAAGATGAAGATAGCTCAATTAGAGTCTAAGGCTACAGGCAGAAACTCTGCTGGTGGGCCTTCATGGCAGCTTTTATTAATAAGTTAATGTGCAGCCTTGTAAATACGGATGCAAATATCCAAAGCAAATCATTTGGGCACTTTTATCAATTTACTTTCCAAATATAAGTAGTATAACGAATATAAAAAAAAATTGTGGCTGCACTTAACAGTTTGTAAACATGAACATTGATTAGCTGACTGCATCTGCAGCACACACATTCACCTTTTCTAATATGAGATTTTTAGTTATTTCTGTTTATTTTGAAACTTCAGTTTTATAATTTTTTTGGTTTTTAGCTTTTACTTTGGTTTTTAACAATTCTAAAATTCTTCCTGGTGCTTGCTACCATGTTTTATTTACCTATTTTGGATTAACTTAATTGGTTGTTTGCTTTATGAAATTAAGGTTGAAATTTAAATTGCCTTTTATTTATTTATTTCATATTATTCTTTTTATTTATTTATTTATTTTAGTTCTACTTTTACAAACTAAGGCAATTTTGCTTTATGTAATTTGGTTTTGCCCATTGCCTTATAAGTAATTTAACATTATCTATATCAGATGGTTGCCTTTTAATTTTCTAAACAACTTTTTTAAAAAAAAAAACTTCAGTTTCTTTATTTTAAATTTAAAAAGTAATTCCTTGATTATTTTTATGTGAAACTGATCCAGGCATAACCCAAAAATGCAGTTCTGTTATTCTTTGGTGTTTCTGACAAAACCAACCGATTTATTACCATTTAATCATTATTGTTTTATTTTTGTATTAATTTACTTTCGTTTAAGTTCCCCCCCCAATTCTTGTTGTAAATAATATTTAATTTGCACCATGTTAAATAGTTTACCACTGTTGATGATATTAATTCTGTACATATTATCTTTTTCTTAATAATCATTTGAAGCATTTTGTGTAGCATTAATAGTATTTATTAATTTTTATATATATATATATATCTTTTGTGGGCTTGCAGCAGATGGCACAACTCAGAAAACTGGATTGGGGACAAATATGTTAAAGTTTTGCTTGATTTGAAATACAGGATTTTTGCACTTACAATAGATTAAGCATGAGCCATGTAAAAGCTTCATAGGAGTTTTCTTAATAATTACAAAATGTTTAAAAAATTAATTTTATTTAATAATAAATATTATCATATTGTACTGTTCTTATCCTCTCTTTCTGTGTTTTTTTTTTTTTTTTTTAACATTACTATGACCAAATTTTACTTTGAACTATACCAAAAGTTCATGGCTCATATTAATGAAAAAAAAAATAAGTTTTATTAGTAATGTTACCATATTGTGATAAGTACCACGAAGTTATTAAATGGTCTTCTTAATGTTTCAGTGCTGCATCATTAATTAAAGTGCAAAATAAAGTGAACAGTTTCTTTAAAATAACTATATATTTACATTAGTTTTAATGTCAAACCTATTTTTACAATTCAAGTTTTAGATAATCATAAAATGCTGAATAACAACTTGGCATTCCTGGCAAGGTAGATTATCAAATTTTCTCAGATATTGAAAAAACTTTGTTGTTATCTATTTCTATTATTACTTCCTTGAAAGACTTCTACCTTTTCCTGCATCTGGAAGATGTGTTCCTTATAGAAGAAGTAATCCAATAATTGTTTTTCTGCTTTCAGTAATGCCAAAATGTACAGTGCTATTGATTTATTTATAATAAAATTTTTATCTGTCTGATGTATAAAATCCTTTGCAACAGTAAAGTCATCTGACATAAAGTGAGAAGTGTTGTTGCAGCCAATATACACAAGCAATCAAAAGATGTAACAGGTACATTACTATTGTCTGCTAGTGTGGTATTAAACTAAAATATCTGGCAGTATTGCTGTCTCAGAAAGGTGATTTTACAATTTTGATGACAATTATAGCCCAAAACTTATATTTTTAGCTGTACCAATATTGCAGCCTATGAACAATATACAATATAATAACAACATAAACTAAAAGTATCTATCTATGTATATATATATATATACTATGTATATAAGAGAGAGAGCACCTTAGATTTCTTAATTTCATGCAAAGATAGATTTCTAATATTTGATTTACTATAAGATGATAGTTTTAAAAAGTTTTAAATACAAATTAGAAAAGTCTTAAAATTTCCAAATTTTCCAATCTTTAATGACAATCTTAGGCTTCATGGAATGGCAATGAGTAAGAACAGATGCAGTTGTACCATGTAGTAGTCAAAAGGTAAAACAAATGTGTTGTTGATATTTCTAATGTCAAAAACGATACAAATAATGTAAATAAAATTAAATATTAAAAGTATTGATAATAATATTATAAATAAAATTAACTATTTCCTCCAAGTTTATAAATTTGGTACAAAGACCTAAATTATTTTCATTGAATACTAGGATTCTGTAGAAATTCATCTGGCAGATTGTACATTTTGAGTGTACGTAAATGTAAGCACAAAAATGTACAAAAGCTGTTAAATCTAGCACTGTGTGGTGTCCTTTTACTTCCTTGTGTAAAATAAAGAAAATATCACAATCGCAAAAATTTTGATTTTCGTTTATCAATGGAGATCTTTATTTTGATTACTTTTTGTGTAGTGTTTGTATGCATGAATAATGATTTTTTTATTTCAGAATGGCTTGCAAAAGGAATTTTTCTGTAACGTCTGTATGTAGGTATTAACTCAAAAAGATTAGCCATAGAATGTTGAAATTTTATATTTCGGACTGTTGTAATATCTAGTTGCAGAGCTTCCTTTTTACTTGCAATCAGCAGGGCTAAAAGGGCACATTATTCGAAGGGTTTTTAAACCCAGTAAAAATATGTTACAAATGTAAATTAAAAGTCCAGTAATCTTTCGGTGTAAAGAATGCTCCTTCAAAATTGCTCCACATTTAACAAATACATTTAATTACATTTTATTACATAGTACAGTTACATAGCAAATATGCGTTACACAGCTTTTCACACTACATTCTCAAAACCCACGCCAACTCTCTCTCAAATCAAAACTTTTCTCACATAATTGAGGGGTGCTACAATGCCCTCTATGGGAGATCTCAACATACTCCCCACGGATGACCGTTCAGGACATCAAACTACCTCTTACATGAAATTAATACTTAACATTATTCTTAGTAAGCATATAATTTCTAGATTTAATAGTTCTTGCTTATAAATGAGTAATACTAAGCCTAAATTAACATATAACGATAAACAATGAATTACACAAAATCAATAACAGAAATATGTACAATAACATTAAAACTTAAAGAATTTAAATGAATATCGAAGAATATCAAGTTAAAGTTCAAAATTTTTCACGATACTTAACTGTCTATTGGTAACACACACAGTTTGTGAATGGGTCTCTTGAATTCACCATCAGCAGTTTTTACTTTTACAACACGAACTCTGTAATCTTTACCTGGGTAAATTTCGGTGATACGTCCCAGTTTCCATTTTAAGGGAGGTTTGTTATCTTCCTTAATGATTACTAAGTCATTTACTTTAATATTTGCTGAAGCACGATGCCATTTTGTGCGAACTTGCAGTTGAGTCAAAATGCAGTTGAGAACTTGCAGTAGACCATTTCCTCCAGAAGGACTGCGACATTTCCTGAACTAGTTTCCAACGATTGCGAAGTGTTAGTGTCTCGTCGCACACATTTGGTTCCGGAATAGCCTTTAATGATGTTCCTATTAAAAAATGACCCGGTGTAATCACGGAAAAATCATCTGGATCACCTGAAATCGCTACTAATGGTCTTGAGTTCAGACATCCCTCGACTTCTGCTAGATAAGTAGCAAATTCTTCAAAAGTTAGAACTTGAGAATCAATTGCTCTTCTCATATGATATTTCATAGCCTTTACCGCTGCTTCCCATAGTCCACCAAAGTGCGGCGCAGAAGGCGGATTGAAATTCCACTTAATTTCTTCCTCTATTAAGTATCTAGCTACCCTTTGGTTCCGAACGATATGATTTCAGTTGTCTGTTGGCACCTATAAAATTAGTGCCGCAATCACTATACATTTCCTCCGGTCTTCCACGTCTAGCAATGAATCGTTTTAGAGCTGCTATGAAGGAATCTGTCGTCATGTCTCCAACTTGTTCTAAATGCACTGCCTTAGTACTAAAACATACGAAAACACAAACGTAGATCTTCACTGTCCGAACACCGCGCCCTTTCCTCAGTTTAACTTGGAAAGGACCCGAAAAAGCTCTTGCGGGATTCACTCTGGATGCTGGAAGATCGCCCATTGCTTGATATGACAGCTCACTTCTGTGTCGACAGCATGTTACACATTTACGAATGATCTTACGAATAGCTGCTCGTGCATTAATAATCCAATATCTCTGCTTGATTTCTGAATGGAGCATTTGTGCTCCTCCGTGAAGATATTTATAGTGATAATATCGTATTATCAGTTCTGTAATATAGTGTGATTTAGGCAGAATGACTGGATATTTTACATTCTGTGCGATGCTAGCATTTCTTAGTCGTCCTCCCACTCTTAGAATACCCTCATCATCTAAGAATGGATTCAACATATTGAGTTTACTGCGGGGACTCACTAGTTTTCTCTTTTTCAAATGATCGATTTCTTCACTAAATTCTTGCATTTGCACAGACTTGATTACCCAAGAATGTGCTACGGCTAGCTCTCCAGTCTGGAGAAAATTTAATTTTGTCCTTGTTATTGATGACCGTTTCACATTGGCAATAAATCTGAGACACCAAGCTATAACTCGTAAAAGTTTTGTCCAAGAAGAATATTTATGAAGCAGTTCATCAATCACAAAATTCTTAATCACAGTAGTATGCACAACGCATCCCTTTCTCTCAGTTTCTACTACTTCCAGTGGGATATCCTTCAGTGGATGCTTAGGGAAAAAACTTTTCTTTTCTTTTTAGCCAATATGGACCACACCACCAACAAACATTGAACTGGCACACCCTACTAACTAAATCAGCAGGATTTTCCCTTCCACTGCAATGATTCCAAAAGCTGGGATCTGATTTTTCCTGCACTTCAACCACTCTATTACCGGCAAACTGTTTCCATTGCTTCGCAGAACCCTTTATCCAAAACAAGACAATTAAGGAATCAGTCCAATACACAAATTTATCAATAAGATCCTTAAAAACCTCTCCCAGATACTTTCCTATTCTAGCTCCTATGACTGCTGCCATTAGTTCCAATCGTGGCAACGTCAATTTCTTCAAAGGAGCTACTCTGCTTTTCGACATGACAAACGACACGGAAATGTCACCCTTATCATTTAAGTAACACACATACGCTACAGCACCATAAGCTATAGGAGACGCATCGCAAAATACATGTATTTCCATTTTTGAATTTAAGTTATCACAACACACAAATAAATTTTTTATCGGAACTGAAATATCCTTCAGATATTTAACCTCAGAACACCAGCTAGTCCACTTGATTTTAAGGTCATCTGGCAATTTCTCATCCCAACCAATACCACGTTCCCAAATTTCTCATCCCAACCAATACCACGTTCCCAAATTTCCTGTAGCAAACACTTAATCCTAACTACAAATGGAGCTGCAAAACCAATTGGATCAAAAATCATTGCTGCAACATGCAAGACATAACGCTTTGTGCTCTTCAAACTCTTTAAACTATCCATTAATCTTGCTATATCTAAAGAAAATTTATCATTTACTGGGTTCCAGTTCAAGCCTAAAACCTTCAACTGACAATCAGAAGTACAAGTATCATTGCTAAGTCCATTCTGCATCCACAATGACCTCAGTTTCTCAGAATTAGTTTTTAATTTTCGCAAAATCATACTTGCATCCTTTAAAATCGACACAGCTTCAGAAGACAGCTTAAATGCCTCTTCAACACTATTTCCCCCAAAATATAAATCATCTACATACAGTGAAGAGTTCAACATTTCAACACATTCGGGTTTATTATTCCTGTTCTGCTTTTAAGTGCTTTTTTATTGTTGCACTTAAAATAAATGGCGATGACTTACATATGCATTATTTTGTAGTCTTCATTTGTATTTTCTGATAACCACAAGAATTTAAAAATTTCCTATCCTCTTCTGAAATTCCAATCATCAAAAATGCTTTCTCTATATCAGCACAAAATGCAATTTTGAATTTCCTAAAATTTAAAATAATATCCAGTACATTGGGATTCAAATTCGGCCCAGTCTCTAAATAATCATTCAAAGAGAGATTTAGTTTCGCTTTCGAACTGCAATTGAAAACCACGCGAACTTTAGTAGTATCCTTTCACAACTGCTCTATGTGGCATGAAATAGTCCTTCGCATCCCTAGAACATTCTTCAATTATTCCTTTACTCTGTTGATCTTTAATTATGTCCTTGTATTCATTCGCCAACCATTCATTATTTTTGAAATTGTTTTTTAAGTCCTCAAGTCTTTTTTTTTTAGCAAGACAAAAGTTATTTTTTAAATCCGTTGGCTTTATTCCCCATAACAAACAAGTTTCGTATCTTCCATCTACAAACCTTAGATTATCTTCAAATTGTTTTATCAAATTCTCATCTGCAATTGATAACTTATAAGAATCTGTAATTTCTAACGATTCTAAATTCCATAGCATCTGCATATTGGTGGCAATGCAAAAATTTGTTGATACTATGTTTCCCCAAATTTTATCCTCAGAATTATTTTGTATGCCCTGGAGCATAAGGCCAAAAATAGTGTGTATACAGTTTAGCGTTTTGGTTATTTTTTCTTTTTTCGACTCTTTAATGACGTCCCAAAAATAATCTGCTCCTATTAAAATGTGAATACCTTCATCTGAATCCATGCATGCTTCAGCTAAATTTAAACCCTTTTGCTGAAAAATATTTTGAATATTTATATTGGGAAATGCAATGGGTGCAGCAGTAATCATTTCAGTAACTAATGCTTCTATCTCAATATATTGCTTAGGATCGTTTCTATTTCTCAATGTTAACTTTACTACACTGTAAGTTTTATCTATGGCTTTCGTGGACCCAAAAGCATAAACTGACAATTTTTCCTTTCGAATAGTTTTAAGGCTAAGGGCATCTGCTGAAGATTTTGTTATCCAAGATCTTTCACTCCCATTATCCATTAACACCCTACATAGTTTAAAGTTTCCTTTCGAACAAGCCAAGACAGTACAAAGTTTTTAGTAAAGCACTGCCATTTGACCCCCGTTGAGAGGGGCTGCACTGAGTCACTGCGTTTGAATTCTCTTTCCCTCCCCCCCCCTTCGACTTCAGCTGATTTATTACTTTTTTCACATAGCAAGGAGTGGTGAACTAAGTAAGCTGTTGCAGTTCTTGCATAGATCGAGTTTAGTTTTACAGAATTGCGCTAAATGGAATTTTGAGAAACAGCGAAAACATCGATTATCTCTTCTTAATCTATTTTTCCTTTCTATGACGCTTTCAAATTCGCAAAATTTGTGTTCTTTGCTATTACGAAAAATGCAGTTTCTTTTAACATTTGTAGTATAACAAGCAGTTGATATATTCCTATTAGTGTTGAGCTTTTTATTTTCAAATTTCCTAGAATTACTTTTATATTCATTACCCAAATTATGATAATTTTCAGTTTTGCAACTAAATAAATATGTCCTTTCCCTAGACCGTATCTCTTTGTCTAAAAAGGTAAATAAATCCTTAAAATTCCAATCACTATCTAAATACGCTCTATTGAATTCTAAAACAAGTTCCTTTGGAATTCTTTCTAACAAAATGGGAATCAATAAAGTGCTGAAAAATTTCGTTTCAACTCCTAACGACTCTAAACTTCTAATTTGAGTATCAGCTTTGTCAAACAACCTTCTCAATCCTGCTAAATCATTTATACTTCTAATAATAGGAATTTTTAGTAACTCATAACAAAAAGGAGTTATTGCTACAAAGGAGTCATTGTGGTGCCAAATCTGTTTTCCCCCCCTCCCTCTCTCTTGTGTGTGTGTGATAATATTTTCTTGAAATTAGGGATTAGCATTTTATAGTGTTAATATTTTTGTAAGAAAAATTGCATTCGAAATCTTTTTAGGTGGTTTCTTTGCCATGGGTTCTGAATACATGCCACCAAACAGAAGGGATTATTACTTACAATTAGGAAAAGATTTAACCCATACATGTCATGAAGCCTATGACAGAACAGGTAAGCATAATCACATTTGATTTGCACTATACTTCTGGTTAACTCCAGATGCGAATTAACAGAGTTGTGTCTAAAAAAATAGTTCTGTTCCAGTAAGCCCTCAATTCTGTAACGAATTGAATATTGCTTTAAATTAAAATGACCAGCCAATATGCTTGTCTTTGTCAAATTTTCATCCCTTATTTCAACACTCGCATAGTTATTCTGAGTTAACCCAGAGCGCCTAAGCAGTAAAATTGATGAACTCTGTTAGTTCCAACTTGGGTTTGATTCCAGGTGAATGGACTGGCTGCATGGGCAATTCATGGTTTTCTCCATATGTAATGTACGTGAACCAGTTTCTGCCAAAAAATCCTCAACGAAAGTATCTCTTTTCTTAGGCAGATAGCCCTAGAGTGCTTTGACATAATCAACTAAACCAACTAAGATAAATAAGTCATCGAAAATAATTATCTTGAGTTATCTCATGATTTGTGGCTATGCTGGTGACCTTCCCAATGTTTTGTTATGAGAATACAGCAGTTTTTATGCCTATTGTAAATGTATTAAAATAACATCTTATCTGTTTTCCAAAATAAAAGTTTTCAAACTTTGGATTTGATTTTAAATTGCTTTATAATTTGTTGCCATCGAAGGCTTCAAAATAAAGAAAAATTAACTTTGATATTTTCCATATTTTCAGAGATTCTAAAGTAGTATTTTTATATGTTAACAGTTCATATAAACTTTGTCAATAAACATATCCAAAGAACAGAAAAAAATAAGCAAAAATTTGTAATCTTTTTCACAATTCCAAGCAATAACATTTTTTACAGATGAAGATATCTGAAACAAATCATTTGGATACTTTCATTAATTTAACATCCCAAATTTAAGTAGTATAGCTAATATTTAAAAAAAAAAATAATAATAATTGTAGTATCATGCAATGTTCTATAAACATGAGCATCCATGGCATACACGTGTGCATTTTTTAACGTAAGCCATTTTGCATGTGAATTTTGGACTATGGTGTATTTATAAGCCTTATTATTATGATATAATTTTATTATTTGCATTCTGGGAATTGTTTTAATTTTAGTTTTAAGGTATTACAAGATGAATAAGCTTTAAGGTATGAGCTGCCTACTTTAGTTACATATTGGGCATTTTTGAAAGAAAGATTTTCAGAAGCATTTTTGGAGGAACATAAAAAGATGGTATGTGGCTTATCATATAAAATTTGGAGCTGTATTGCTCATGTAATGAACCTGACATCATTAATTTCATTAAATGCCAAAGAATAAAATGCGCAGGCTACAATATCAGAAAGGGTGAAGACCGTGCAACAAAAAATATCTTCAATGACGGATCATCAGGCACATGGAAAAAAGGCAGATCAAATCTAAGATGTTTAGACTGCCTAGAAAATGGCCTATTGGTCTTAAAAACTAAAAACTGGAAAACACAAGGAGGGAGAAGATTGGCCTGGAAAAAGCTTTTTGATAAGGCCAGGGCCCGCCCAGTGCTGTCAGGGCATTGAGGAAGGAAGTAATGCAAAACATTTATGCAGAATCATGAAAAATTACTGTTGCTGATCATTCTGTAATACAGGGTTTGTACAGTCCTTAAGAGTCCTTAGATTTTTTGGAATTGATTTTTGGTCCTTAAAAGTACTTAATTTTGGCTAAACTCAGCAGAAGGTCCTTAATTTTAATCATCTGAAAATTCTGTTTGTTTTATGACTGCCATTTTGAGTGTGAATTAGCATTTTGGAGAAATATTTTTGGCGATTCACTGACATATATGGTTATCTTTTGAATGGGTTATAATTTGTTCCTATTTCTAGTATAAATGATGGAATACTTGCGTTTCTAAGCAAGAAGTGAAACATAAGCATTTCAAAATTAATTTTTTCTAATAAAGAGATTTTAAACAACTTTTCGCTTTTGGGGATGTGAATTCTTTTATTAAACGGTTCTAAATTTGGCGATTTTAACATCAGTTTCTATAGAAAATTTTTAATTCCGAGATCTGAAAATTTTTCGACGATTTTTTCTTTAAACATCATCACATTGTTAAATTTCATTAAAATAATGGTAATATATTGAAATTATATTTAAAAAAACAACATTAAAATAAATTTTTTTTTTTTTTTTTCTGTAATATTGTAAAATTTTGTTTTGGCAACTTATACAATATTTCAATCTGAAAAATAAACAAGTTATAATGCTCTAAAGCACAATTTACGAAACAGTTCTTAGCAAAAGCAAAATTAGCTATGTAATTAATTAAAAGTGTCTTGTTTTTAATTTTTTCAGGGTAAGAGTTTTTCCCATGTAATTGTCTCAGAATGTGCATCAGTTTTCTCTATAAAATTAATTTTATACTTTTTTCCTCCTATTTTTTCCAAAATATTTCTGGCTGTCTGCTGTTACAGAAATGGTAGGGATAATTTTTCTTTAGGATCTTGGACATTGCAGCTTGGAAAGTTTGGAAGGATTTGAAGGCAAGATTTATAGACCCACGATTCTAGAAGATTCGAGAAATATGTGACAAAAGGAAAAATGTCTCTGTGGTATCAACATGTAATTGATGTATTTTACAGAAGTTTGCAATGAATTTCTTACTTTTTGGAGAACGTCTGGAAGAGCAATGAAAACATAATATTTCAATGCTTTACTTTCTGATATTGGAATCTTAATATGTTTATCTTCCCTTTATTTTCTTTACTTTTCACTAGACTCAAGCATGGAAAATATCAAACACACATCTTATCACATGAGCAGGCATTATAGAAAGGGATTTTTTTATTAATAAAGAAATTGAAAACTTAAGTTTAAAAGATTCATCTAATATCTAATATGCATCATTCGTATAGCTAGCACTAAGTATTTTCCTACCTGATGCAATTTCTTTGGATCCTAAATTCTGCTGCCTAGTGCCTTTCAAAATTCTGCTCTAATTTCTAAAAGTTTTGCCATTTCTAGATTTTGTTGTTAGGTGTGTCACTAAATTCTAAAAATTCTGTCACATCAGCTCTGTAGCCGGCCTTTATCGGTTAGAAAGATGAAATATGAAATATATATATAATGAAATATGAAGTTTATATTACTAAAGAAATAAAATTAGCCACTTTTTTTATACATTCTGAATGCATTTAGTGTTTTTTAGAATACAGTCAAAAGTCGTTAATCCGGACTCGTCGGGACTTCGGCGATTCCGGATTATAGATCATAAGTTTAAATTTGGTAAGATGGCATGCAGAAAAGAAATTACAAAATATTAAAATATATGAAAAACCGTAATTTATGAAATAAAGAACAATTATGATCTAAAGGGTATCAAAATTTACAAAAGGAAAAAGCTTAATATTTATTTGTTTACTTTATTAAACATTTCTATTTCATTGTTTCAGTTGTTCAGTTTTAATCTTTAATTCTATTAACAGACATAATTTCTTGTTTTTAGTTACAAAGTTCAAGTCGTTCAAGTTCTAGTTCTTCTTTTTTTGGTGTCAAGAATAACCGACTAATTTGTCAATCGAAATTTTCGTTTTTTTTAAATAACCCTCTGTACTTTCTTCATTATCGGAAGCAAATTATTATAATGGCGAGGAACTTGTTTTAAATCATATCAATAACGGAGTACATCGAGATGAAATACTACATTTAGTAAGGAATTATAAGCCAAATAAAATAAAAACATCTGCCCTGAAGATAGGGATAGTGCTGACAGATCAACTTCCAATTCATTGCGCGCCGCGGCATTCTCCCCGCCGAGCAGCGTGAAATTGATAAACAGATTTCGGATTTCGAAACATACTTTCACTTTAGATCCTTTACATATTAGCAAATATATATCGGAAATTCTATTTGATGTAATCGAAAGTTCAAGCTTACTTTTATAAAATTGCTCTAACAGTCTGCAAAAAATAATAAGCGAATCCAATTCGAAGATTAATCTGCAACTTTAACCGAAATAGATAATTTTAGCTTAGGTTATACTGTCCATTATACATTAAATGCGCATGCGTAAACGTTTTATGCGCACACGCATATTCGCAGCCGTAAAGGGTTACGCGCACACGTAAATGCAACGCATGCGCAGAATGTTTGTGGCTTTGAGGTCCGGATTATGAGTGTCCAAATTAACGACTTTTGACTGTAACAGAAATCCTTAATTAAATCCAAAAATTCTTAAATGATAAGGAAATGTGTTGAAGGAAGAAACTGAATACATAAAGAAAATTATTCTTCAAGGATATGTGCAGTTATTATTATTATGTAAATTACCCAATTGTTTATGATTTCAGCCTTTACTATAATTTCCCATTTCTGTTTCCTCATGTGATAGAGTTACTGAGTCAGATTAAATTAAAATTAAATTGTATAATCTTTTTTAGTTTTAATTTGACTATTTTTGTTTAATTATGTCACCGTGAGCTGTAATTGATTTTGTTCACATCAGAGCATGCCTTTATGTTCTAAGTTCTTTTTAAATAAGAGGCTTATTTATGTAGTTACTTTCAGACATAGCAATAATATGCTTCATGTCTGTCAGGGGTTTTGGACTATTTAACTTTTACCAGAACAAGAAAACCCTCATAGGTACATTGTGGAGAGGTTGTTAGGAGATAAAGCACACAGAAACTAATGAGAGCATTGGTTTGCATATTAAGACAAATCTCTGCTTATTAGAAAAGGTGCTTAAAGAGAAGGAAGTCGATATAAACTAGCCAAAATGTCTGGGAAGGCTTCAAATTAAAATGATAGATAAATATTTTATTGAGTGTTGTTGTTACAAAACATAAATGTTTTTTAGCTTTTAATGTGTAATTAATTATCCTAATATTAAGAATCAATGCCATAAATTACATATATTTTAAACTGTGAAATTTTATTAGATTTTAATAGGGCTTTTTTAACAAATATTGTTAAAAAAAAAAATTTATTAGTGGCCATGTAAATCCATAAAGACTGAAGTAATCAAACTACCTAATTTAATTATTTATAACTAAATGCTTACCCTTAAAAATTATCTCTACATATTAAAGCTAGTTATTGCCGTTCATTAATACTCACTGTGTCACAAGATAAAATACAAAAATGTAAAAATTCAAGTAAAACTTTGCATCTCGTGAGACTTAAAATAATACAAAATAACTTATCACCTCTGTTGCTTTAATGTCTTATTGGAACCTAAGTATTGTTACGGATTTGGTATTTAATTAGCTAATGTTAGTAGAATTATAAATTAAATTGTTTATTCCCTGTGCAGTGCAGTGCAGTGCATGATGAATATTAAAGGAAAGCTAAGCCAGAAAATTAAAAATACAAGAGCATGTGCATTTAACGTTTAATAAATGAATATCTCTTTTTGATTTCAGGAAAGTTCCAGAAAATTCTAACGCGCTATTTAAAATCTTATAAAGAGGAGGAAAACCTTTCAATTCAATTGTTGTTAATTAGTTTGTTGTTGTTTTAAGAGTTTGTTTAGAAAACTGCTTTTGTTGACTGTAGCGAATTCGCAGATTAGCTTTCTTTAGCTGTTTTGAATTAAGTTCTCTTGAACGTTTGAGTAGTTAAAAGATAACTACTGTGAGATATTGTAATACTGCATGAATATCTGAGGAAATTTAAGCATTTTTGTTGTGATAATAATAACTTTTGTTTATTTTTCATCGGACTTGTGCACTCATTTCATAACGAACCCGTACACACGCAACAGTATATTAACTGGTTTACAACCCCTGGAACTCTACAAGCACCTACGATACTAACTGCATCAAACAGAGCCTGACTAACTTTCAACACTTACCAATCGTACCTTTCAGGTTCATCAGGCCTTTCAGGTTTGTTCTAATCAGCAGGTGTCCCTCTAGATAAGCAGCAGCAGTGGCAACATTCAGTCTTTTGTTATGAATCATGCTGATTGGGATCTTACTTTTCATTTTAATGTATGCCATTTGACATATGTTACCTGCTATTTACTAAACCTCTAGACTGACCAAGTATGTGACAAAATGAGACATAAAAAAAATCAACATGAAGCTAAATGTTAGTAAAAAGTAAATGTCACTTATCTTCTTTCAAATATGTCCAACTATTATAAGTGTAAAATATTTAATGCTACTTGATAAATTGCTTAAAGTTTATTTTATTCTCAACTTATTAATAATTATGTTAATTCATGTTTAGAAATAATGCATACTACTTATGGATCTATTTTATTTTTAGGATGGTATTACAAAAGTGAAATTCAGGCATAGATAATATTTTTAGATGAATTTATTCATTTGCCATTTGGTCATAGGTCCTTAATTTTTTTCATTAATGGTCCTTAAAAGAACCTAATTTCCGTGTGCAGAAATGTGTACGAACCCTGTAATATCAGAAAATAATAACTAAGCCACTCAGTGGCATAATTCAAGTTCTGTTGTGTTAGTCAAGTTCTTGAAGGTCATTTATAAAAGGTCTTCATTTCTAATGATGTTTATTTTTCTGTTGTTTATTGATTTTTTTTTTTAAATTGATATAAGTTGTATGACCAAGTAAACTAGATTTACAGATTACAGTCTGTACTTGTTCTTAATTCAATAGATATTGTTGTATGTTTATTTTATATGGATATTTTTTTTCTTTTTATTAAGCTTAAAAAAAAAGCTGTAAAATTATAACTTTTATATGTTATTATATTTATAAAAGTTATAATCTTACAACCTCCATAAATTTAAAAAAATATATATCTTAATTATTTTAACTGAAATAAAAACAACCTCCCTCCTCCTCCCAGAAAAAGGATCTTTTCTGTTATATGACAACATGGGTCAAACTATTTTCCAAGCTATGTAAATATAATGTATAATGGATCACCTGGAAAGTGCTGTGGTTTTCAAATTGAAGCATGTTTTCCTCTAATTATTTTATTACTGCTGTTAAGGGATGACCTTGACTGAAGCAGATGTTTAGATAGTCTCTGTCAACTCAAGTTGCATAATTCTAGTATGTGTAATAGAATTTTTTTCCCCCTTTTCTTTTCTTTTTTTTTCCCCAATGCAGTGCTAAAAATGGAGAATCCTGAGATGTTCCCTTTTTTAATATTATTCTCTTATATTTTTAAGAATAAAAAAGTGTTAGATAGACAGCTCATAAAGTTTATGCTGTATGTGGACAAAATGGTATTTCTAATGACAGTCAAAAAATTCTGTAACGTGCTTAATTGCGGGTAAATTTTGGTTTCGAAGATGTTGCAGCTAAACAAGGACCCATTAAAAGCAGCTGTAGCTGAAATACTATGTTATACAGTTCTGGAACTCTCTGACAGATTAAATATTTCCAAAAGTATAGAAGTTGATCATTTGAAAAAGATTGGGTATATGCAAGCCGCAAGGATATATGGATACCCCATGCTTTAACAGAGAAGAATATGCTCCCTCAAATTTTGTCTTGTGATTCTTTGTTGAATTGAAATAAAGAAGCTCCTTTTTTGAAACAGCCCAATGCTGGAGATGAGACGTAGATATGATGCAATAATGTTATGGAAAAATCATGGTGTAAGCCCAAAAAAAAACTCTTTTAGTAATACTGGGAGGGAGGCTGCATACCAAGAAAAGTTTTTTTTGGGGGGGAGGGAGCACAAATAAACCATATACTGTGAATTAGTGCTGCCAAATCAGACAAATTTTGAAAAGATAGTATTAAATGGACCAAATGTCGTGGTGTTGTCATGTGTCATGACAATGCACGGTACCACATTTCGATGAATGTGAGATGACTTATTGAACATGGCTAAGATGTTTGTGTTACCACCTATATTCACTAGACCTTGCTCTCTCAGATTTTTATATATTCGCCTCATTTCATTCTCTGAAGAGCCTGGAGTTAACTTCTTTGATGAATGTCAAAGAGCATCTTAATGACTTTTATAAATAAACCTAATGACCTTTTAAGAAATTTTTCAGCTGCCGACGAGATGGTGAAAATTCATAGAACAAAATGGTATTTATGTGATTCAGTGAAATTTCAGGGTTTTTATATATCTTCATGCATACTTTATGCAGCTTCTATCAACAAAAGACTGCATAACTTTCTGGTTGACCCAATATATAAAGCTTTATGTATATAGAGTTTGCATTTCGTGAAGAAAATTATTCTTTTTGATGTGCTGTGTATTGCGGTAGTGTAATAATATTTAGATGCTATTTTAAAAAAAAATTTTCCCAACAGCAACAAAGATTGGCCCAGAATCTTTCCGTTTCTCAGATGCGAGTGAAGCGAGAGCCCTGAAGCAAAATGAGAAGTACTACATCCAGCGACCAGAAGTGATTGAAAGTTACTTTATTCTTTGGAGAGTGACCAAAGACCCAAAGTACAGGCAGTGGGGCTGGGAAGCAGCACAGGTATTTCTGCAAAACATATTTTGGCACCTGAAGCTTTATTTCTCTAGATGTGTAATTTAAGCATGAGAAAGTGTTTTCTTAGTTATTCTTATTAAATCATCCCATGAATGATGATGTTTCTTGGAGTAAGTTTTTCAAAAATATGGATTTAATATAATCATAAATATATGTAAATATGTATTTACATTGCTATAATGATTCAAAATTCAAAACAAGTAATGTAGTATTTTCTATATTTTCATCACAACAAGTGATATGCAACACAACAAGTTGATCACAACAAGTGATAAATTTTCTGTATTTCCATCTACAAATGGGCAGAACTTCGATGAATATTGGCTGTGAAATATATATTTTCATTACACTAAAGTACATATGAAGTTTTGAGTCGAAAAAATCTCAAAGCCCTGTTGATAAAATTTTAGCTAAAAAAATCTGTTACATAACTGGACAATTTACCAAAATTCTTTACTTTCCACAAATCATTCTCTTACTTCTAGCAGTTTTTCATTTCTGACACTTGTTAATATGTATACTTCTAACTCTAATACTTAAAGGGTTAACTGAAAAGCCATTGTCTACATCAAAATATCTTCCTGATCATATTGGGCATTCAGTTGTTAGTAAAGAAGTGATATATCTAATAAACACAGCAGTTTCCTCTAAAAAGTAATATATTATCAATTATTTTTTTAAGTATTGAAAAAATTAAAAATATAGCCATCTGTGTAAAATGACATAGCAAAACACAAAAATATTTTTAATAAGTTTTAAAAAGTTGTATTTTTTGTTTTTTTCATTAATGAAATTGAACATATCTGTGAATTGATGTAAATGCCTTTCACATCAGTTGTCTGAATTATTTGAAGTAAGACTCCGATTCTCTGATGAATCCAATAATAATTAATAAATTAATTTTGTAACAGTTATTAATAAAAATGGAGTATACAATAAGATAGGCAATTCCTACCTTAAGGCTCATTCATCTCATAGTGTCTGAAAACTAATATCAAAATATTTCACTGAACGCAAGTCATAAAATTAGATTATAATAATAAGGCTTAAAACACTCTGTAGATTGTATTATTTGAATCTTGAAATCCACATTAAATATATAAAATACCATAATTTTACAAAGGTTTTAACAATAAGAATTCCATTTGAAATTACATTACAAATTATTGTCATCCTCAGCTTCAAAACGATAAAAAATTAAATATTTTGGTATTTGCCAGTGTTTTCAAGTAATGAGTTAGTATTTTTATGTGTTGATGGTTTGTATAAACTTAGTGAATAAACATGTGAGAAAATCCCCCCTCCCCCCACCAAAGAAATTAAAACATTTTGAATCTTTTTTGCAATTCCAAGCAATAGCAATTTTTAAAAAATGGTGATATCTGTACCAAGTCTGAATATCTTCAACACAGAGAAATTTTCATCAATTTATATAATGTAAATAGCATAGCAAAGATAAAAACGGTTTAACAACAGTTAACACTCTATAAACGTAAACATTGATCATTTGAGTGTGTCTACACTTCATAGCTTTTTCTTCTTCACTGATAGAAAAATCTGAATAAAAATTTATTTTGTTTTCCTAATTTATCGATGTTTTCATTTATTATAAGTAAAAAACCAAATTTATGCTAATGTTTATTAAACATTTTAGAACTTGTTTTGTAATGAATAAAGTTTATGAAACATTGTTCTAAATAAATGTCATTATTTTCCTTCCCTGCCAACAGGCCATCGACAAACACTGCCGTGTGGATGGCGGCTTCACAGGTCTGAAAAATGTGTACATGATAGACAGTGCAAAGGATGACGTTCAGCAGAGTTTCTTCCTGGCAGAGACACTTAAGTATCTGTACCTTCTTTTCTCCGAGGATGACCTAATACCCTTGGACATCTGGGTACTGAACACTGAAGCCCATCCATTGCCAATTAAGGGGAAAAACCCAGCTTACAAAATAGTCAGCTGATATTCCAATATCTCTGATGCCATGGATCGGCCAAATTTAAGAAAAACCAATCAGTAAACTGCTTTTTATCCTAGAGAATGTTTTCAGAATTATTCAAATTGTCAATTTATTTTAAATTGAAAATTTTATGGAAGGTAATTTATGAATACAGTAGAATGATATAGGTCTTGTTAAATTATTAGCATTGCCGCCGATTGCGTATCATGTATTTTTGTAGAACTGAATTTTGCGTTGTTGATTCTTCAGATGTGTATTTTTCTTCTGTACATTTCCATTCTGAATCTTCTGTATGCTAGATTTTTATTTCAATAAGGTGTCATTTTTTTCCATTTATTGTGAAACTATTGTGCAATCAATGATAATTCATTGATGGTGCTAAAATGTGATACCCTAAATATGTTTTATTGATGTTAGTTTAAAACTGCATATAATGTTATAATCTTATATGAGGGTGATTTACATTATGCTCAAAGTGTCACAATTGTCATAGGCACAGCTTATATTTGAAATTACTTTATATTTTATTCATATGTAATACTGCTAACTCTCTGGGTTTCATCGGGAAATTCTCAGCTTTTCCTGTCATTTCTCGGTAGATCACTAAATTTCACATATTTTGTTTTGATCCTTTACTAAGAAAGATGCTTCTGAGCAGTAGATTAAATTTAAATAGTGTAAATGATAAATTAAATTCCGTCTTCCCACCTATGGTGATTTTGAATATAATTTTTCTCATTAAAATTTATTTAATCTGAATTATCTAATTCAGTTAATATTTCTATATACATTAGATCAGTATACATCCTAGTCACAAAATCCGTACCCAGGCCTTATTTTTGCTACCATTAATTGTAAAGTGTTTTAAATAATGCAAGGATTCTTTTATTATTATTATTTGAAGTAATCAATTTTTAAAAATTACGAAATCTAACTTTTTGCATGTTTCTGTGGTCTATTTACTTATATTTAGGGTAATGTTATACTTCCTTTTAAAAATTAAAACACACTTGACTTCCCTACAATAAAAATCGTCCAAGATATTTCATTTCAAATTTTGCTATTTCTAATGTAATATTCAGTTTCTATAGAGGGGTTGGTTAATAAATAAGTTAGAAGAATTCCAGGTTGATAATTTTTTTCAGATTAAGTACTATTCAATAATGTGATTTGATAGTGTCTTTAAGGGGTGTTGGAACCCCCTATACAGACAATATTAAATTGGCCATTTTCGATGTACCTTTTCTCAAAATCTGCTGAAGACACATGCTTGAAATTTAACACCTTTCTCAAAAAAAAAAAAAAAAAAATATTTTGTAATCACAAAAAGCTGATTTCAGTATATATTAGGGAACATAATAAATATATGTATCTGTGAGCAGTAGTTCCTGAGAAAAGGTACATCGAGTGTAAAAATATTATGTTTGGAGAAAAACGTATTTTTTGTGTTCGATGATAAATTAAAACTAGATTTATAGTTCTAATTTTCATAGAGATTAAACTATGGTATTTTTAGAAAGCTAAAAGTGTAAAGAATTTTAAAATGCAAAAATCCCAGTTCACCCTTTTTTGAAGATTTTTGACTTCCAACATCCCTTAATTTATAATTTTGTTACAATTGGTATGCCGAAAGAATTTTCACAAAAGTAACTCATAAGCTTTCAAGTATGTATAAGTATGTTTTTAATATTCACATGTAGTTTTACTACTTTAGAGTATTAATGTGATAATTATTCAAAAAAATCATTAAACTACAAATATTTTTTATTTTTAATTACTGTAAATAATATTACAAATTGGCTCGAGGATCTCCCATAGTTTCATATTTCAAAGTTGGCCGCTGTGTATTGATAGTAATTTAAATATTTTCATTTGCTGCATAATTTAATAACTCTCATTTTATGTGTGTAATGATTTTTTTTTTTTTTTTTTTTCAAGAATACTTATATGTTAAAAACATAAAATGGAAGTAAAAGTAATAAGCTGAAATAAAACTTTGAACTAAGTTTCATTCTAAAAGCTGCAATAAATTTTATGGCAATAATTTTATAATGATTAGAGACCAGTAAGAACTTAACACTGTGAAGATATATTAAAAAAAGGGGGGACATTATTAGAACAGCATTTCAAACATTTTTCAAGTGAGGACCACTTTAAGAAATTAAGAGTGTTTTGCAAACCGTTTCACTCTTGCTCCCTTCAAAAGCAGTTTTTCTAACATGTATTATTTTAAAATGCAATTAATTAAAATTGATTTAATCTTATGTTGGTATTAATTAAGTCAATACAAGAAAAGTTATATTCATTTTTAATAATTCAAGGCTATTAGAGTTTTGTGTAAACTTCATCTCAAACTAAAAACTAAACAAATGTTGGTACTCACATTTAATGACCCTGATGAGCTTGCTGAATCTGTGCAAGTATTCTGCATGTGGATGTATACTGGTCAGTTTAAGTCTGAAATCTGAACCTGTATCAAGTCAGTTTGACTAATTTTTATTTGATGAAAATACTTTTTTACACAGATAGTTAGAAGCAAAGTGTGAATTATAATTTTTAAAGCACTATTATATATCACTACATTGTGTTTTTCATTCAGTGTCAGTTTCTTATTTTCAAAATGGCAATGGAAAGGACCATGAACCTATGAAAATTCATTTTATTTACCATTCAGGAAATAATTTTCAAACTCTGATTTCAAAGAGTTTCGAGATGTGAACATGCATCACTGCATGTTTCTTTTCCCAATAGAAATATCATTTTCTACTATGAAAGATTCTAGAGTTTGAAATGGTGATACATTTCTCTGTTTTACCCAATAACCCATGAACAAGTTTCCTCTCAAACCCCTTTATTTCATCATAGGCAGTGAGAACAGTCAAAGGATTATGTTGTAGACTGAGAGTCAGGCAAATAGTTTTGAGTATGCATCTGAAAGATATGTCATTGTACTTTGCCAGTGTCTTCAGCAAGAAGTAATGTAAAATCTTGTTGATTTTGTTTGCAAATGGCAAGAAATTTTTTCAGGTCTCCAAAGGATACAGTGGCACGTTTCTGGGACCACAGTTTAAGAAAAGCTGCTGTTAAGTTAGAATACAGCGCCACCTATTGAATATGGAGAGAAACGCACTTGGCCATCTGGATTCAGCTAAGCAACATGCCAGAGCATGTATTAGAACTGAATGTAGTTAATTACTGTCAGTAAATTAGTTCTTTTACTATACAGTCCACTCATTAGTTTGGAAACATAGTACAGCTGCCATAGAAGAATAAACTAAAACAATTCAAAATTTGAAATGAACTGATATCTTTTCTATAGTATCTCTTTAGAGGATTGGTGCCACAAAGTAATTTAACAGGGCAACAATATGTCTGCCATTCTAATCACATTGGGTATAAAATATTATCAGTTTGCATTCTTGTCCATGATTTAAAGTTGTATCATGGCTCGATAATGAAATTTTGCATATGACACTTGTGATACTTACTTCCATAATGTGAAGGCACAACAATAGTGAAAGCCTTCATTGCATACATGTACTTTGTAAAGTATGCAGTTTGTTATCTTTTGTAAAAAAAGATTAAAAATTTATTTGATAAAGATTCTGAATTTGTTTAAAACTTTCAGTGATGTTTAAATTTAATGTGAGTGTTCTGGATGAACATGACGAGAGGTACATAGGGAATGTAAAAATGCAATTAGTATCTTATTTTGTGTAGTTGTTTTTTAAATAATTTGGGACCAGTAAGTTTTGCTTTTAGTGCATTATTACTGTGTATGTAGAAGATTTTTGTTTGTTTTGTGGGGGGGGGAAGGTTTTCTTTCTCTTTAAATGCTACATAGAATTGTCTTCATTTGTTGTTGTTGGCCTCCAAGCATACATAGACACAAAATTTATTTCATCTTCCCGCCCACCAGCGTCTGAGCGGTAAAGTCGCTGAACACTGGCAGTTCGATCCGAGGTTCGAATTCCATGAACGGGCTGGCTGCATGGGCGTTTTTGTGTTTTCCCCATGTGTAACGTGTATATGAGCCAGTTTCCCTCAGAAAGTCCTCCATGAAGGCATCCCTCCTCTTAGGCAGATAGCCCTAGTGTGCTTCGCCATAATTAAATACACCTTAAATTATTTCATCTTCCCATATCCTATTATAATATTGGTCTCTGCACAGTGATAATTGTTATCTGGGAATTTTATCTTGTGCTGTATCTCAAACTTTATCTTACAACCAAATTTATTTTATCTCTGAATGGGACTTTTTCGTGAATTTTATCTTGTGCACTAAGAATTGAATTTATCTTGCAAGCTGTATTGGAAGTGAATTTATCCTAGTCGTGAAACATATGTGGATCCATAACTTACTTTATCTTCCCATAGTACACTATCAGTTTAATTAAATTAGTTTAATTTAAATTTTTATTTGTTTTGTAAAAAATCTCTCTATAACAAGACAGGGGTCTTCATTTATTGTTGGTGGTTGATGAGCATATATGAACTCAGAATTTATTTCATCTTCCTGTGGTCCATTATAATATTAGTCTCCACATAGTGATTATTTTATCTGGGAATTCGAATTTATCTTGGTGGTCTACATTAGAATTAAATTCATGTTGATTTCTATAGTTCGACCACCTCATCCGCGACCATGATGCGCAAACACGCATGTGCCATTCGGACCGAATTATTCTGAAAATAGGGTGGAAGGATGGGGATTTTCTTTTCCTCCAGAATAGCTCTTTCTGGAGAAGAGAAAACCTTTCACGTCGCAGCAAGTTATACCACTCCTTTTGGATGAGTCTATGTGTTTTGGCAGAATGCCAACCAGGGTTGCGCTTCAGACGGTCGATCTATATCTTGGAATCTTTATTGGAATTGAATTTATTTTGAAATTCAGTTATTAGGTGATTATTGTCTCCACAGTAAAGGCAAAGATTACCAAATGGCTATAGAATTTTTAATCTTGGAAGTGCTAATACTTTTTCATAAAAGCTGATGTCAAAAAATTATTACCTACTAAATTTAAAATTTTTTATCAAGTCTAAGATTTGTTTTCAAATGATCTGTCCAACAGGAGCAGTACTGATTTGTTCAAAAGTTCCAGCTTATTTAAAAAATTAATAGCAAAAAAAAAAAAAAAAAAATGGAAAGAGTAGAGAGAATTTAGATTGTTATAATAGTTATTTTTTAATAAGCATGTGTATTTAGGGTTACCATATTCTAAGAAAAATAATCCAGGGCAATTTATGAAAAATCATTTTGCAAAGTAAAAATACCAGTAACTTTTAAATAATCTTGCTTCTTGCATGACAAAAAATTGAAGACACACAAAGCTTTGCAGAGACCAATATTTAACATAGTAAACTAAAAATAAAAGTAATAGTAATAATTAAATAAATTAATGCATTAAAATAGATTAATTTTTTTACATACTTGAATGTATTTTTATTGTGACAAAAAGGTTGACCATATAAAATGGAAAATTTCTTCTTTCTGTACCTTAGTCTGAGTATGAGAAATGTGTTTTAATTTTTCTCCATTTTTGTCGTACATTTGTGTTCATTTTATGCCTCTGAACACCATCGTTTTTAAAAAATAATATATTCAAGCATGATCAACTTTTTTTTTACATTTCTGTAATTATCTGTAATTTCATGAGTTCTATATTTATTATTCAAAATATGTATTGTATTTGCATAATTTAACAGATTCTGTGTTTAAAGAATAATATGAACAAATTTATAAAATTTGCTTGCCTTAAATTATATTATATATATCTTTTTTTTTTTTTTTTTTTAACTATTTTTATATGGTCACTGAATTTTTAGTACACTTCAGTGCAGTGCAGCATTTAATGTAAATTATTAGTAAAGAATTAAATTACTCTAAAAATGACACAAATAGCTATTAAAATCTGTTTTCACTTCCATATGAATAAAATAAATGTGTTCAAGCCATATTCATACTCAGGTTGATATTTCAGTAGATATTATAACATGTGTTTTTGCAAGTCATAATTTTTGTTTGCAAAAGTATGTATATGGCAGTGACAAAATATTTGTATTATTTCAATTCCTAATAAAGGGTAATATATTCAAAAGGAGTAATTAACCATTTGAGTGTCATAAAAACTCAAAAAATTTGTGTCTTTTTTCGCCTCCAAAGATAAACTGCTTGCCGCTGACACTGGGCTTAAAAATGTTTCTTTCCCCTTCACCAGCTGCTAAGATCTGTTTCGTAAACTACCTATTTATCACACTCAAAGATGCGAAACAGTGTCACTGTACTTGGGAGACAATTCTTTTGTTCTAGTCTCTTATCTGAAAATTAATCAATACCTTACAGCAGGGTTGCCACTCAAACAGAAGAATGAAATTCCCTGACTTTTTCAGGTGTGTTTTAAGAAAATTCCAGTCTATGCACCTAATGCACATTGGCTGTGCTAAGAGGTAAATTAATTATGGTATTACTTGAAAACACA